TCATTCTCTCTCTCTCTTAAATAAGTAAATAAAGCGGGGCACCTGGGTGGCTCAGTGGGTTAAATCCTCCGCCTTCAGCTCAGGTCATGATCCCAGGGTCCTGGGATCGAGCCCCACATCCGGCTCTCCGCTTGGTGGGGAGTCTGCTTCCCCCCCTCTCTCTCTGCCTGCCTCTCTGCCTACTTGTGATCTCTCTCTCTGTCAAATAATAAAATCTTTAAAAAAAAATAAGTAAATAAAATCTTTTAAAAAAATAAAGTAATTTTATCTGAAATAAGTATTACTCCCTAGACTTTTTTTTTCAAATCCATTCACATGATAAATGTTTCTTCATTCCTTCACTTTCAATCTGCTTGTGTTCTTTAGGTCTGAAATGACTCTCTCATAGGCAATGTATAGATGAGTTTTGCTTTTTCATTCATTCTGTCATCCTGTCTTTCAACTGCAGCATTTTGTCCATTTCCATTTTGTCCATTCAAAGTAATTATTGATATGTGTATTTATAGCCATTTTGTTACTCATTTTATGGTTGTTTTTGTAGTTCTTCTCTGTTCTTCTTTTCTCTTACTCTCTTCTCACATTTAGTTAGCTTTCTTTAGCAATAAGATTTCTTTCCCTTGGGGCGCCTGGGTGGCTCAGTGAGTTAAAGCCTCTGCCTTCAGCTCAGGTCATGATCCCAGGGTCCTGGGATCGAGCCCCACATCGGGCTCTCTGCTCAGCAGGGAATCTGCTTCCTCCTCTCTCTCCCTGCCTGCCTCTAACTACTTGTGATCTTTGTAAAAAAGAAAAAAAAAGGATTTCTTTCCCTTCATTCTTTGCATATCTATTACTGATTTTTTATTTGTGGTTACCATTCATTTTGTATATAACGTGTTCTATATATAACAGTCTATATTAGGTTGATGGTTGCTCAAGTTTGAGCCCTTTCTTTACTCTTCTCCCTGCCCTCACATATTAGGTATATGGTGTCTTACTTTATATCCTTTTATTTTGTGAGTCCTTTGAATGATTTTTATAGATATACTTATTTTTATTGCTTTTGTGCTTCCTAGTTTTCTTACTATTACTTATGGTTTTTCCTTAACAAGCAGAGAGTCCCCTTTAACATTTCTGGTAAGACTGGTTTAGTGATCATGGGTTCCTTTAATTTTTGTATGTTGGGGAAACTTTATCTCTCTTTCTATTCTGAATGATAACCTTGCTGGATAGAGTATTTTTGGTTGCAGTTTTTTTTTCTTTCAGCACTTTGAATATGTACTGTCACTTTCTTCTGGCCTACAAAGTTTCTGCTGAAAAGTTAACTAATAGCCTTTTTGGTTTCCTTTGTATGTAACTGTTTTCTTATTTCTTGTTGGTCTTAGAATTCTCTCTTTACCACTACTTTTTGCCATTTTAGTTACTATGTGTCTTGGTGTGGACCTCCCTGAGTTGATTTTGTTGGGGGGTCCTTGTGCCTTCTGGGTTTAGATTTCTTTTTCCTTCCCCAGATTTGAGAATTTTTCAGTAATTATTTCTCCAAATAAGTTTTCTACCCCCCTTTCTTTCTCTTCTCCTTTTGAAAGCCGTATGTTGCAAATGTTATTACCTTGGATGATGTTGCTGAATTCCCTAAGTATGTTTTCATCTTGAAAAAAAATTTTTTTCCTCTCAGCTATTGAACTTGATTGCATTACTCTGTCTTCCAGGTCAATGATCCATTCTCTCTTTTCTCTAGTCTACTATTAACTCCATCTGGTGTGGTTTTAATTTCATTTATTGATTTCTTCATCTATTTTCTTTCCTCTTTTGAGAGGGAGAGAGAAGGAGGGGAGGGGCAGAGGGGAATGGAGAGAGAGAATCTAAAGCAAGCTCCACACCTAACTCAGAGACTGACACTAGCCTTGATCTGACAACCCTCAGATCATGACCTGACCTGAAATCAAGAGTCAGACCCTTAACCAACTGAGCCACACAGGTGCCCCTCTGATGGGTTCTTTTATGTTTTCTATCTCTTTCTTAAGGGTCACACTGATGTCCTTCACTCTTTTCTCAAGTCCTTTGAGTGTCTTTATGACTATTACTTTAAATTCTCTATCAGGCATATTACTTATCTCCATTTTGCTTAGGTCTCTTGTGATTTTGTCCTCTAGGTTATAGAGGTAGTCATCCATATTTTCTTCCAATATTTGTATGTTATCATTTCTGATTCATTTTGGATTAATTATGGTATATTCTGTGAGGAATAAATCTCCTTTTTCTATATGGCCACCCATTTTTTTAAAATACTTCTTATTTTAAATGCAGTGGAAATTATTTCCTCCACTGATTTGAGATTCCTCTTCTATATAATACATTGACAAATGTAATCAAATATATTTTTATTTCCTATTCTGTTGGTTAACTTATCTATTTATGTGCAAGTATCATACTCTTCTACTTACAGTTTTACTTATAATTAGTATATTAGTATATAATATTTAAAATATTAGTATATTTTAATGTCTGGTAGAGCTAGCCTTCTTCATTGCTCTTCTTTTCAGCATTTTCCTGGCTTGTTTTTCCTTCCTAACGGACATCACCAAAATGTCAAGCTGGAAAGAAAAACATTGTGATAATTTATTGTGATGTGTATACACACACATATTAAATAACTTAGGGAGAAAATGACACTTATAAGATATTACATCTTTATATCTATGAATATATGTCTCCATTGCTCATGTCTACAGGTGTGTTTTTTTGGAGTTCTTTATTATTTTACTCATAGGTTTTAGACATTTTCTGTTATATTTGTATTTAGGCTTTTAGCTTTCTTTTGGCTGTCTTAAATGGGGTCTTTTCTTAAATTATATTTTCTAACTTGTCTTTGTATATACAAAGGGTTTTATTTCTATGGACTAATTTTATAACCTGTTTGATCATTAAATCTTTTATTTTATTTTTGCATTTTTTAGAGTTTTCAGGTATATATAACCATACCATCTTTAAATAGATGTAGTTTTTTTTGCCTCTTGCTTTCCAATTCTTGTGTCTACTGTCTTATCTAATTACATTGGTTGTTAATAACCCCAATATAATGGTAAATAGTACTGAGGACAGTCTGCATCCTTATCATGTTTCTTCCTTTGAAAGAAAAGCCTGTATTGTTTCCCCCATTGAGTTTAGAGAATAAATGAGAAAAATATAAATTGGCCTTTTATATTAGCCCACATACTTATATTTCTGGTGCTCTTCATTTCTTCCTATATAGATTCAACTTACTGTTTAAATCATTTCTTTTCAGCCTGAAGAACTTCACTTAATATTTCTTATAAGGCAAGTCTTCTCTCAATGAATTCTCTCATTTATTGTTTATCTGGGAATTATTTTATTTCACCATCATGTCTGAAGAGTTGTTTTATTGGATATAGAATTCTTGGTTGACAGTTTTTTCTTTTAGCACTTTGAGTATAACATTTCATTACTTTCTGGCCTCTGTTGTTCAGATGGGAAGTCGTGTACTGTACTGATGGTTCCTTGTATATGATAAGTCATTTTTCTGTTGCTGCTTTCAAGATTTATCTTTTTCTTTGACTTTCATCAATTTTGCCTCAATGTGTCTGGGTATGGATCTTTTTATATTTATCCTACTTGATGTCTGCTAAACTTCTTGAACATGTAGATTAAGGTTTTATGTCAAATTTGAATAATTTTGATGTTTTTTCCCCCAATATTCTTTCTACAACTTTCTCTTCTGTGTTTGTCATTACATATAAGTTGGTATGCTTGCTCTTTTCCCATGGGTCTCTGAATTTATTCTTTTTTAAAATCTTTTCTCCCCTCATTCTTCAGTCTGTGTCTATTAATCTATCTCCACTTTCAGTAATTCTTCCTTTTATCATTTCAAATATCATCCAAATTGAGCTCCATTAGTGATTTTTTCATTTCACTTATTGTATTTAACACCAGAATTTCCATCTGGACTTTTATATAATTTTGAATTTCTTATTTCTTCTATTCGTTGACTTATTATTGTCATACTAATTCTTTAAATATGAGTTCCTTTAGTTCTTTAAGCCCACTTATAATACCTGCTTTAAAGTCTTTTTCTGTTAAATCCAACATCTGGGAATACTCAGACACCTGTTTATTGACTGCTTTCCTCCCTGATTCTGAATCACACTTTCCCATATTTTTGCAAGTCTGCTATTTTTTTTTTCACCAAGAGTCAGTCATGTAAAATGAAATATTATAGTAACTCAAGTTTATAATTTCTCCTATCATTGATGATAACATTCAGGAAAATACCAGGGACATTATTTTCACAAGCAAGAAGATGGATAAATAAAAAAAAAAATTCACCATTATATTTAATTATTCTCTGTATCAATCAATTTTTTAAAAGTCTAGAGTTCTACTAAGGGAAACTAAACTGTAATCTATAAACTGGCAACCATACCACAATAGCATTAGAAAACAAAGTCAGCTTGTCTCTACAATCTTAGACCCCTTTTATTTCCTTTATTATTTCTGCATGAACAAACCCTTAAAAAGAAAATAATTTTATTGACTTAATCAAAGGAAATAGTTATGTATAGTTATAGTTAATCTACTAAGGATGTCTATAGTCCCTCAAAAAATAAATTTCCTAAGCATTAGGCCAATTCTATCTTTTGTTTGCATTTTTATAGAGGCCATCTAGAAAAAGAAATCGTTAGCTCAAGAGAAGGTAGCCCTTTGGAAGAATTGCCCTTTGTATCATCCCTAGGAGATAAAAATGGTGGGAACTTCTTTGTAAGGCTGATTTAGCTCCAAAGCTTAGTGTAAATCTTGTGAGGCAATCAATACTCACATGAAGTATAAATGTTCTTTTATTATTGTCCAGAGTAACATCTTGGCTTTTCATTGGAACCAAATTTATTTAGCAGGATATCTATACTGTGACCGTAAGAAATTGTGATGATCCTGAGATTGATTTTTCAGGGGACTGAAAAACATAGACTTTATTCTATGTGACACCAGATTTTGTGTGAAATTTCTAGAACTAGACCAGCTCCTCAACATTCTCTGGACCAAAAGTACCTGTATCAGAAAAGGTAAAATCCATCAACTTCAAAGGACACAAACCAACCTAACAATCTATGATTGGGGTCACCCTAATCTATCTGTATCCATGGGCCAAGAGTCAAATGATGGTTCAGCTTCCTGGGATGAGGTATGGTCATTATTCTTTTTTTTTTTTTTTTTTAAGATTTTATTGTTTATTTATTTGACAGACAGAGATCACAAGTAGGCAGAGAGGCAGACAGAGAGAGAGAGGAGGAAGCAGGCTCCCTGTGGGGCAAAGAGCCCGATGTGGGGCTCGATCCCAGGACCCTGGGATCGTGACCTGAGCCGAAGGCAGAGGCTTTAACCCGCTGAGCCACCCAGGCACCCCTGGTCATTATTCTTATACCATCCGATGTTACTGTCAAAGTTGTGAAAGTTCTGTAAGAGTTGTGGAAAATTTAAAGGATAATGTATATTTCCTTAAATGCAAAAATATTCTATTTCTACAGAGTGGCCATGGGTTTTTTCTTCTATAAATAGATCTCTATGGACATAAACATGAGGCCAAGATAGGCAAGAAAAACATATATAGTGTATGTGTGTGTATATCTGCATTGTCTCATATATATGTGTGTGTGTGTGTGTGTATATATATATATATATATATATATATATATATATATATATAATCTTTTCCCATTTGCATCTGTATTAAATGAGTGAGTAATTAATTCGGCAAACATACTGAGCATTTACTACCTGCCAGTCAGCATCACAGGCATTAGGGATACAAGGCTGAACAAAAATAGGCACGATTCCTTTGTCACTTATGGGATAGTAGGAGGATACAGACATTACATATATACTTACAATGATGAATGAATGCTTTAAACGTAGTTTAGGTTATGAAGAGATTACTTTGAGCCATGACTAACAGAAATATTTGTACAGTAAGTTGTGAGATATATATTTCTCTTTTTGAGAAAAAGTGATAAATATGTTTATAAACATATCTGTTATTTCTTTAAGTCATGCTCTAAAGAACATTCGCTAGCCTATCTTAATGTTTCTTGAAAAGGGGTGCTATGGTCCAATCGGTTTGGGAAATACTAGATATACATATTGCCTTGTAGCATATTAAGTTATCTGGGGAAGTCCTTTAGCAAATAAACTTCTTTTATCTAATTGAATCCAACATTTCTCAAACTTTGACTACGGCATTCTTCACCCTAACCATTTAAAATCCTAATAAATTGATGTTCCACAAACATGATTTATGTTTATTGAGTATGTACTTTGTATTAGATGTGGCACTATTTCACCTGCATTGCCTCATTTAATTATTATCACAACTATATGAGGTTAGGTGTATTATTCCATACTACAGATGAAAAAGTTGAGACATGGAACTAACAAATGATTGCTTCAGTTCACAGAAACTAGGATATGCACATAGGTTGTCTAATAACATATTCTGTGCTCTTAGCAGCTGTGCTATTGTTTGGGAAATGTTGATTTAAATAAAACTATTTTTGTTATTTGTATATTAGGTGAGCAAGGTACCGTCTGTACCTTAAAAGGGCAAGATCCCTTACAGATTCTTAACAATGCAGAATGTTGTTCCTGTGAGTTATAGATACATGATTGGGCGGTATCATATATTCCCTCCCCACCCCCCACCCCCCAGGAGTTTGTATCTCTTAATCCCCGTCATCTATTTGCCCACTCCCCCAACCCTCCCTTCTAGCAGCCACTGGTTGGTTCTCCATGTTTATAAGTCTGTTTCCCTTTCTTGTTGTTGTTTGCTTATTTTGTTTTTTAGACAAAAACAGATTATTAATTAGAATATTAGATATTTTTAAAAGTAGATTTGTTACTTCTGTATATATGTATATCATAGGATATGTATATATAAGATATAAAGACCTGTATTAAATTCAATTCTTTCAAACTCATGGTAATCGTATTCAACTCATAGTGAAGAGAGGTGATGCTTATGTTAATCTTTGCTAAGTAGATTTCTTCAAGGCTGGCTTTTAGGAAGGGAGCAAATTTGCCTAATGAGACCTTATCTTTATAAAAAATGAAAATTGTTTCTTAAAATTTAGGAACTACCTACTTAAGGCATGTGACCTCTAAAATCAGTAATAGTCATTTCCTATGCTAACAATGCAAATGGTTCTTCTCGGTCCCAACCTGTCACTTTCCTCGTGACTCTTGATAGGACCCTATGACAGAGCAGATCTGAAGATCCTGCCTACGTTATTTAGACCAGTGATCCTCAAAGTGTTATACCCAGGAACTTCTTAGAAATGCAAATTCTCGGGTCCCACCCCAGCATCTGCTGAATCATAAACTCTGAGAGTAGGTCCCAGCAGTCTGTCTTATAACAAGCCCTCCAAGTGATTCTCAAAACTAAAGATCGTGAGCCACTGCTTTAGAATGTTGGTCAAGTTCTCATAGAAGTCTGATGATAGCAAAGCAAGGATACCCATATATTGAAGTTTTATGCAAAGGAATAAAGATATTTTAAAGGTTATTGGCTGGATAATCTAAATTTTCATTTGATTTTGTTCTTTAATAAAAATATTTGGGGTTTCAGATTTATAGAATATAATGAATCACCACTAAGGACATTTGTGTTAGTGATTTCAGAAGAAATGTAAAACAAACAAACGACCTAAATAGCACAGGAACGGCACGTAAAGATCAAGGGCACAGAAGCTTATAATAGAATATCCTTACTCTAGGAGAAGGCAGTCTAAGACCAGAACGATTCAATTTCTTGGCAGTGAACTGGTGAAAGATGCGTGTCGTTTTGTTCATGTTTGTCTCCGCACTGCTTTACTTACCAATCCAGCCCTCTTCAATGAGAATGCTCGTTCCAAAGGATTCATCATCGAAAGTCTGTGGCCAGTTTCCCTTTGTTGTCGTCAGTACATCTAATGGTGAAGCAACTATATTCTCTTAGTAACACGGTGCAAAAGAGAAGTTGTCTTTGGCACAAATTACTTGGACAAAGGGAAAAAGAAAAACCCAAGTTTAGCTTTCTGTTGTTGCTTTCCCTAGTAGAAACCTTTTGGAGTCTGGCCCCGTCCTTTTCTGAGAAATGCCTTCCTCACCCACAGGCGTGAGGCTGGCAGCCATGTCTGGACAGTCTGATCCCACCTCCTATCTCGTGGGCAAAACTGATTGAACCAGAGGGATGCCTGAGCCCAGAAATACGTCTGTGGCTTTGCTGAAGCATCAGATCTCTGTCAGGACTTGCAGACGCAACTCAGTCTTGGGTTTGTGGGCTGAGAGGTCACTTCAGAGTTGGGGTTTATATGGTCATGTGTTTACTAAAGGAGAGAACACTGGACCGCGAAAGGAAATAGATACATGCAGCGGGAAACAGAAAGGAGAAAACACTTGGCCCCAATGAGACAGAAACAGAAACATCTTTGGTTCTCATCTTCTAGCTTCAAGTTGAGTTCTGCCTGAGTTCTACCTTTTCAATCTCTGAGATCCTTAGTGTCCTGCCAATACAACCTCCCCTTGGTTCTCACTGATTTGAGTGCGTTCTCTTCCCTGCAACCACACATTTCCTGATCAAGATAAAACATTTTTTATTCATGGACTCATCCCCCCAAAAATGTATGTGGGGAAAACTCAGCAACTATGTCATCATTTTCTGATCAGCAGTCTGTCTTTGTTAAAAACCCTTACATTCTCCAGCAGGGCAAATCCCACAAGCTTCGTAAAGCTCTGGTTTTCTTCAGAGACCTTACTGATTGTGACTAAAGCTCACGAAGTCATTGCACTAGGGTCTGATTTCACCGGCTGTGCTGGTGGAACTATATACACATTAAAATTTTAAATGCAATTTTTGATACACAAAATCAGCCCTGAACACTCCTGAAATGCACAAATGCCCTCTGGCAGTTTTGAGAGACCTGTTGGATTGGTTGTTTACCTATAATCCTTATCTGTCAATGAATATGTCTACATTTGCTGTAGAACAACAGCAAAGATAGAGATAAGCAGTAGCGCAGGGAATCGTAGTGATTTCAATTGTTTTTGTGGGGAAGGGAGGTCAGTTCCAAAGGTATCCATATTATTTAGTGTTTACACTCCCGCTGGTTGACACAGCATTCACCTTTTAAAATATTTACTTTTATTACTTTTGAAAATACATGTTGGCTACACAGGCTTTTTCAATCAGAGAATATGAAAGACAATGATCTCCTTCCCTCAGAGCTCCTGTTTATCATACGAAATCTTGACTCTGTTGAGACAAAGCCACCATCAGCACTGAGAAGCAAAAAAAAAAAAAAAAAAAAAGCATCAAGGTTTTTAAACTGCTGGTTAGAAAACCATTTGACACATTATAAAATCCAGTGCACGTTTTCAGGAAAGGAAAAAAAGGGTGCAAAACTCATACTACATCGTACTCAAAACGAAAGTGAGATACAGCTGACTTTGATCAGAGGTTGAAAATAATCCTTGCAATTGGTCAGAGGTTGAAAATAATCCTTGCAAATTATGTACACACAAAAAGACTGCAGGGGGGAACATGCAGTCATGGCTCCTTGTGTCCTTTTTACCCATTCCGTTGAGCTCTGACTTCTCAGGAATGACAACTGATGGGAAATTTGTCGAGATTACTAACAATGTTCTCTCCGTAGTTTTGCTTCTCTGCAGGGCAGCTGGCAGAGATATTTGTACAGAGCAGCCTTTCACCCATTTCCAAGGAAGTCTTCCAACGAATGAGTCCGGGAATCATCCAGCAGTTACTCAGCTGCTCTTGCCAGCTGCCTGAGGACCAAGCAGCAAAGTTGCCACCGACCACTCTGGAGAGTAAGTTGTGGCTCGTCCCTGAGAAAGTTAGTGTACGTAAGGTAGTGCACGTAATGGGGTGACCGTAGGATACATACTACATACCAGGCGCTGCTCTCAGCATTTTACCTTTCTCAGCTCACTCGATCCTCATAACACTATGAGCTAGATACTGTTATTATCCCCATTTTACAGATAAAGAAACAGGCACCTAGAAGTGAAGTGACTTGATCAAGGACACACTGGGTAAGTGATGGAGTTGGATGTAAACCGGAGCAAGCTGGTCCCAGCACCCTTGTCAGCCACTGTGCCAGATTACCTTTCATTGAATAGTTTCTATTTTGTATGTAAGTTACAGAGATTGATTTATTCTCTCTATATGACTCAGGCACGACCAACTTCAAAGTTCCTAGTTGAGAAGTGGCTTGGTATAAGAGAAAGAACATGAGTGATGGGATCAGAGCTGCAAAGTTAAATCCTACCTTCTAGCCCCAGCCAGCTCCATGATCTTAAGCCCTCTCTTTATTTCCCTGAGCCTTTTTCCACCTCTTGCACAGTGGGAAAGCAGTGATATCACACAGCTTACCATCCTTTCACACATCATAACACACATAAAAAACAAAGGCACGCTGGGGTAAACCAAGGAGCTCCTCTGGAGTAGAAGTGACCTTGGAGAGAGTCGCCAGCCTCCGGATCAGGCTGGCATCCCCAGGAAGTAAAGGCTAGACATTTCACTCACCTGTATCCCACTGGATCACCACAGTAAGTGAGCTCCATGATAAGGCTTCCTAGGGTAGCTCTAAGTTTCAAATGGGGCAATGTGTACAAAAATGTGTTCTGCACCCGAAGTCACTGTATATGTAAAAGAAAAAGAAATTATGGCCAAAAACATCCATGATGGGTAGCAAAAATGTGACCGTTAACATATGCATGCTTTAAATATTACCAGTGATCAGAGGGCCTTATGTAGACTTTTCTAGAGCGTTTTCTTTCTCTTTGAGATAGTCTTGCAACGCCCATCAGGGGTGAACTATCCAGCTACACACTTCTAACACAGTGTGAATTTTGCACCTTCAAGTGGCTCTTTTGAAGATTTTATGTGAACAAAAACCTGCCAGACCTAAATATCGAAGACTCCACATTCACTGAAAGGAAAAAAAGCGAATTAAACCTGAACAACGAAATAATTCAGCACCTGCTGGTCAGCGTTGGCTCAGAAATGGAGAAGGGGGACAGACCATGGAGACCTAGGAGCCTCCATGAGCGTATTTACATGCCCATCCCCGGTCACCTTATCTGCTACATGGGGCAACTGTGAAATAGCTTTGTGAGCTGAGAATCTGTGAGAAATATTTCTTTCTAAGGAACACCTAGACCCTTCTGCGGTATGGTCCTCCTGAGATCAATTCAGAGAAATCATACTAACTATAGAACCCAGAAAAGCATTACTGTGTTCAACTTGAAATGTTGCATTATGTAACTTAAAGGAAAGGCATAAATAACAGAAAATGTGGGCTGAGGACAGAGGCGGGGGCAGAGTGATTTTAGGAAGAACAGGGTTTGTTGTGCTGGAATCTGACCCCTAAGCACCACCTGCATGTGGAGTTCCAGGAAAGTTTGTTACAGCCCCCCATATATCGGGTTTCAGACCCATTCAAGGATGCTGCTCTAGAATGGCTAGAAATTTAATGATTAGGTCAAGTTCTATTGTAATGATGGGAAACATTTCTATAGAACCTGTCTGCAGGCTGCCTGACTCCAGTCAAGATGCCATGACATCTCTGTGAGGACCTGGGGTGTTTAGCAGAGTCCCATGGCCACAAATGACAGATTTTAAGGTTTTTCAGGCTGTCTTTGCCTCATGAGAGCAGATTAAATCTGATTCACAGAAGACCGAAACAGATTTCTAAGCTCTCAAGTTAGAAAGGGTCCTTTCTCCTCCCAGACCTTGTAGTTGCCCGCAGGACAAAGGGGAGAGGAATAGAAGAATCAAAGGACTGGGAACTTTGCCCTTTACCTGGGAAATGCCACATCCTAATTTATCCTTGTGAATTCTCAACATTTGCTGATCTTTTGTAGGCATCATAAAAATGTGGCAACTTTTAACTTTATTAGATATCCTTTGAATGTCTTTAATTATGTATTCAACGGGAAGAATGACATTCCCACATAAGGTCTATTTGTGGAAGAGTGAGATATGAATCTTGGTTATGTATCTCCAGGGATGTTTTTATAACATAGGTATTTTTGTTAAGTCAGAACAAAATAAAACCTCTGAGTGTATGACTGATCCAAATCATTTTCATCATTTAAAAAAATTTTTAATTGTGGTAAAAAACTGAAATTTGAGATGAAATTTAACCTTTCTTAAATGTACAGCTCAGCAGTATTTTCACATTATTGTGCAATAAATTTCTAGAACTTTCTCATCTTGCAAAACTATAACTCTGTATCCATTGAACAACAACTGTCTTATAGAGGGTCCCTAGAAGTGAAGGGGTGGTGGTAAGAGTGGGAAAATTAAAATTTGAAAGTTTTTTGCTTCTTTTGAGTACACCGATAACACTATTTTAACATTAGACTCCTGTATGATTTAGAACTTATAATTCAATAAAAGTCCTCTTAAAAACAAAGACTATTATCATGTTACCAGCTTGTACAAGAATGACAAGTACAGAAAAGTAGAAGACCAGAATATTTTCTATCTTAACAAATCTTAAGATGGCAGTTTCTTAAAATCTACAATGGGTTTTAATTAATATGATAACTGAATTATTTCACTTCTTACCTGTAGTCACTAAAGGAAATGATGGTTTAATTTTATAATTACCTTCCTTCATTGTTTACAATTTGCCGTGGCTTATTAGTAATTTCTAAATAAGTAGAAGACAGAGTATTTGCTCTGAATATTTGCCACCAAGGAAAATGGTGGCCTGGAAAACTCTTTATCCCCCAAATCATTTATACAGTTGACCCTTGAACAACACAGGTTTAAATGGCACAAATCCACTTATATGCAGATTTTTAAAAACATATACAGTACTGTACTGTAAATGTATTTTCTCTTATGATTTTATTTTCCTTTCTGTTTTTAATTTTTAAGTAGTCTCCACGCCCAGCATGGGGCTTGAACTCATGACCCTGGAATCAAGAGTCGTTCAACCAACCGAGCCAGCCAGGCGCCCCTCCTATGATTTTCTTAATGACATTTTCTTTTTTCTAACTTGACATTGTTCAAGGGTCAACTGTGCTTGATACTGAAAGCCATTTTTTCCCTCTCTTTTCATCTTTTTTTCTTTCCTTCTTTGCTTCTTTTCCCCTCATGCATATTTCCTTCTATTTGAATAATCTTAAAAATTGCACTTCCTGAATATTTTTTGAAAATTTAGAAACCTATTTTTTGATAAATTTAGAGGTTATAAAAAATGATTGCAGTAATTTAAAATGTAGGCTGTCCAAATTTATTTATCCTCCCAACCATTACACATTCATTGATCAGTTCTTACTAATGCAAGCACTCATTTTAGGCCCTGAGAATAATAAACACTTTGGACGTTATGAATAATTTTGAGAACTTTGGGAAGAAAATATTCACCTTGTACAGAAACCTAGGTCTTCAATGGCCCCAAACTGTGTGCTCCCTCTATAACTCTGCTTCCTTGACTTCAGAAGGTTTAAATGGGATTGGAAGGAAATCATGACCAGTGGATGGCAGCCGATGTTGTGGTTTAAAGTGAGAGAAGTTCATTTCTTTGGTGGGGGGACGTAAGCTAGGTCCTGTAGTGATTTTAGTAAGGGGTAGTTGGGGTCATTTCAAAGCAACAAGGTTAATGGTGAAAGTCTTTTCATCCTTTTCCTTAAAGATGAAGACCTTTTACACACTAGAACGCTCATATAACAATTCCATATCTCTACCTGCTGTATTGTAAGATGGGTTTTTCTCGAATTTTGTGGGCTGGGGCATCACTATGGGTGATGAACACTGACCCCTTTGCACTCTCCGTTTGGCTTAGAATATGGCTACAGCACAGCGGCCGTGGCCTTGCTCACGCTGGGTTCCATGCTCGGGACGACGCTGATTCTGTTCCACAGCTGTGAGGAGAACTACAGGCTGATTTTACAGCTGTTTGTGGGTCTGGCTGTCGGGACACTTTCTGGGGATGCTCTGCTCCATCTTATCCCTCAGGTAACTCTTTTCCATTTTTCATGGAGCGTTGCTAATTGCCATTTCCATTGAGTCACTGGCGGTGTCGATGCAAAATTTCACAGGGACTTGGCCAGCGTCTTCCTCGGGAGTAAGTATCATCTCCCCAAAGCACTTATGGGGGAGAAGAGAGACCCAATCCTTAGACTCTCCACTTGTTACTCTTATTTTTGAAATAAACCCAAAAAAGTCATCGGAGGCAGATTCGTCTTAAGAGACATTCAGGAAGTATCCACTAATTATCTGTTAAATAAAAATGAATGGGCTGTAAGATGTTTGCGCTGAGTTTTCTCCAGTCGTCCCTGACACATCAGATCCTTTCTCTGCCTTCTCTGCTGTTCTTTTCCTGCCCCCAGAAGATTGTGCCGCCTCCGCTTCCTTGCGGGCGGAACTGGTGTTTGGATTCAGCCAAGGAGGAGAGGAGTGGCAGGGGCATTTCTTCCCCACGCCTCCTGGCTCTGCACTTGCTCTAGAAGCAGCAGATTACCTACCATACTCCAGCTCCCGGGGGACGCCTCCCCCTCCACCCCTACCTCCCCCTGAGCTGCAGAAACATGAGTTCCAACCTTCGCCCTTTCTGCTCTAAGAGTGGGAATGGTTTCCCGGGGTTGCTCGCTTGGGAACATTTCATTATCCCTTGTTCCTCCCCTTGCTGCCTGCACCAGTCTTTTGCACCACCAATAAGCTTCTTCATTTGAACCATCAAAATTAATTTCTTTTTTGCCTAATAACGTCTAGATTTTCCTTAAGCAAAATATAAGTACCAGGAAGCTGGCTCTTTGCTGAATTCTTCTGAAGCTCTTTATTTGTCAGAAAGGACAGGGCAAAGACCCGAGATGCAAGAGTTAAGGCAGAAGGGGCTCGAGATGAGGTTATTTCTTCCCTCTGAAATCTCTTGGGATGGATAATGATGGGCAAATGAGCCCCCCTCTTTCAAAGCCGGAGATGTTAAAAATTTCCACAGGCCTCTGGCAATTTCCTACAGGGTCCCTCTTGTTGCTCAGAGGCTCAAAAATGATTAGATGTTCTGAAAAATCACAAAGTGAGCCTTGGAAAATGAAACAAACCATTATTCGTTTTAATTTCCCTTGTAATCTAATTTTCTGGAGATATTTTAGGGCTTATTGGCTGGAGGCAGTGGCCGAGGCCTTTTCCTAGGTCCCTTTAGTTGTTGCAGAGCTACTTACTGCTCAGGATTCTGCAAAAACAGCAAAAGCTTCCCGTCCCTCCCCCAAAGGGGGCATGGGGCTCCTGACAGCAGGCGTGGACTTAGGCAGATTGGGGGACAGTGTGTCAGCTTGTACTGCAGAGACATGATCCAGAGAAGAGCTTAAAAGATCAGCTAGGTCTCCTGATGATTGGAAGGCAACTGTTTTATTTGAGGGAAGACCCATGGATAAAGGTTACTGGGGAAAGGAAGGAGAAGATGCAGTACAATGTTTGGGAAGCTAGAAAAATCAGTGGCTGCACAGAAACAAGAAAAACACACTACTGTCATGATTTCCTCTTCTCAACTAGCAAAATGCATTCAACTTAAAGGTCTATATTTTATTCTGAGCTTGTGGGGTTTTCTTCTGTTTTGTTTTGTAACCTTGCCACGTCCATTATTTTAGGAAATAACATCATCATCAATATGAGATGGGTATCCTTTAATATCTTTACCAGAGGAAAAAGTTGAATAACATATACTGGTTTGTAGTTACGTTCATAAACTCAGTGTATATACTCGGATACATATGCACGCTTACACATGTACTCATATGTATATGTGCGTACACACCTACACATGCACAAGTATGTATGAACACATATATGTACGGTATGTGTGCATGGAATTTCTTTTTCCTTTTCTTACTTTGGTGGTCAGTAACATCCTAAATGTAGAAAACACTGAGCTGTTTCCCAAACTGCCTTCTCCTTGGGAGGGAATATGATACATACTGATTTACCAACTCACAAGAAATCATGAGGTCAACCAATGGGATGAGTCAACTAGAAGAAAATTCCTAATGTGTTTCTTGTATCCTTTTGCTTCCCAGAAAGCTGACAGTATTGCTGGGTATATAGTGTACACTTCGTGGAAGAAGCCATTCAGGCAGATTTCTCATTTATCTGAATATTTCTTAAATTTTCTTTAATTGCAGTGGGCATGGGGGAATAAACCTTGGATGAAATATATCTTTCTCTTTCTTTGGGATATAAAATACATTGATCTGTTATAAAGACTTGCTGGGCAAATAGATACGGATTGAACTCTGGGAGCGGGGACTGAGAATATATGAAAATTTGGTTCTCCGTTCTTTTCTCTTGTACACATGTTGTTTGACCCTGAGCAAATCAGATAGTGGAAGTACACATACAGCTAAGAACAAACTGGGCTTTGAATGATTCCAGCAGTTTCATGGGGTTTCCCAGAAGGAAAGGTGAATATATTTAATACTGGACCTATTAATTAATATTTAAGTCATCAAAAGCTATTTCTTTGTGTCCCCCCACCCCCTTTTTTAAATAAAGGTTCTTGGTTTACATAAGCAGGAAGGCTCAGAGTTTGGACATTTCCATGAAAGCAAAGGCCATCTTTGGAAACTGTTAGGATTAATTGGAGGCATCTATGGATTTTTCTTGATAGAAAAATGTTTCATTCTTCTGATATCACCAAATACCAAGGTATATTTTAAATTTTATTTATCTTTTGCTTTAGAGCTTCATAATACTCATCTTTTATTTCAAAAGTCCTTGTTGAAATGTAATTGACATCTTCATAAGGTTCTCTAGGCAAGGGTTGGGGCTCTAATTTCCAGAACACACAGATTATTCTGACTGGTAGCTTCCCTGTAAGTATGGTTATTAATATTTTTAAACATCCACTGCTGGCCTGTTAAGGTACTTGTTAAAACCCGCTATTTGACCTTTGTAGCTAGTTCAGAAACAGGAGACTATTTCATGTCTGGGAATGAAGGGACCCAAAGGCCTAGCTACTAATCAGCATTTGGATGTCTTTCCTAACCCAAAACAAATAAACATGCAGACAAAAACTTAGAAAATTCACAAAATTACCCATCATTTTCTATCCTAAAAGCATTTAAAATTATAAAAACAAGGAGCTCAGAAATGGGATTTGTGGCAGATCTTCCTTTTTTTTTTTTTTCCAGCTGAATAATTGCATCCATTGTGTCTGTATTTGATCAATTTCTGCGTCTGTGATGAAACACAAAATGCAGTATGGTTTTTTAATGGATTCGTTTTGCTCTTACACATTATCCCATCAGCCAATAGATTAACTGGTGGGATGCTTAAAAAGGTAAATGTGTGCAAACAGCTCTAGGAGACTAAAATAAAGCAAATTCTCTTTACAAGGTCCTGGGCCTCTATTGTCCCATGTGGTTTTCCACTTATTTTCTGGACTTCTCCTTGTTCACATAATTTATAACGTCTCTTCAGTCTTTTAAAATATCGAACACTTGTTTATTATTATCCCTAAATTTATTTGAGATTCAGATTCTGTGCATCAAAAAATAAGATGGTTCTATGATAGATGGTAACACACTTACAGTCTGATGTTAAGGATCTTGCGAGTGAGTTTCTGAGTGATCACATTGCGGTTCTTTCAGCTTTTCTATTTGAAACTTATCACAGTAAATAAAATACTGTTGAAATGGTCTTTTTTTTTTTTTTAAATGAAGCAGGGTTTTTCTTTGTCCTGGAGCCCAAGGGAAGATGCTATAATAATTCAGAAATTAGGAATGCTAGCTTTGATCACAGTCCTGACCCTTGTGTGTTCAACAACTTAACCTCCACAGAAGGGGTTCTCATCTCAATAAGCACAAAAGACAATAATAGATCCTCTTTGTCCGCAACAGATTAGCATTGTCAGCCTGGGAAAATTAAATGACAAAGTCAACATATTAACCTGTGTGTAATACTTAGAAATTTAACCAGGATAGAAATGAGTGCAATAAACTCTGGCCATCCAAAAATGTCTAGAACTTCTTCAGATTGTCCTTAGACCTGCCAGGGAACTTAAAATGAGTTTTAAGAACAGAATTTCGGGGCACGTGGGTGGCTCAGTGGGTTAAAGCCTCTGCCTTTGGCTCAGGTCATGATCCCAGGGTCCTGGGATCAAGCCCCACATCTGGCTCTCTGCTCAGCGGCGAGCCTGCGCACCCCCCACCCCCGCCGCCTCTCTGCCTACTTGTGATCTTTGTCTGCCAAATAAATAAATAAAATCTTAAAAAAAAAAAAAGAACAGAATTTCAAGACTCACTATATTGAGTAAAATAAAAAAGAATGCAAATGTTTCAGAAGGTATAGTGCTTTAGTGGATGAATACATTTCTGAAGATACTAACTTCATAGTTACAGTGTAATATAGTTTCAGTTATCATCCTTTGGTATCCCCATCAGAAAGAGTGCAAATTTAATTTTGTAGTAAATATGATTTTGGGGTAAATTCAAAAGGCAATATAAAAATTACTACCACTCAAGTCTTTTAAAATCATAACTAGACATTTAAAGTTTCATTCTTAAGGCATTTGGAATATGAATGATGTTTCAGAGCAGTCCTATGCTTCTCCAAGATGAGACATTTTAGCAAGTATTTTTCAGGATGAAATTCTCTTAGTGCTTTTTTTTTTTTTTTTTAAAGATTTTATTTATTTATTTGACAGAGGTCACAAGTAGGCAGAGAGGCAGGCAGAGAGAGTGGAGGAAGCAGGCTCTGCAGAGCGGAGAGCCCGATGTGGGGCTTGATCCCAGGACCCTGAGATCATGACCTGAGTCAGAGGCAGAGGCTTTAACCCATGGAGCCACCCAGGTGCCTCTTCCCAGTGTTTTTTTTTTCGTGTGTGTGTGTGTGCGGCCACTCACCACTTTGGCCAATAAGCGCAGTATTAAATAGAACCATGAAACTGACAGAGGCTGCACCTGTGTTCTTCTGGCTTCAGCACTAATTTTAAACCATCCTCATCCAGCAGGGCTTGTCGTTGGTTAATGGGCATGTGGGACATTCCCACCATCTTTCGCTCAACTCTGAATTAAGTGACCAGTCAGGCAGAGGCAAATCTGCTTCAGCTATCCAGTTGGTAGGTTACTGATCTGAGGTATTCTACTGATTTGATTACCTTCTTTCCTTTATTCTTTGATGAACAGCCAAAAATCAGTAGGATAGATAAACAAATTCAATCCTGATTTGCCTTTCTTAACCATGATAAGTAGCTTGGAAAACTTTGCTAAGCACCTAAAAGCTGTTTTAAAAAGGAAAAAGTCTTCCCACAAATTCAAATCCTTGCTATCTACACCACTCTGAAACACATACGATCAGATGGACATAATATGTTTCACAATCATTTTGTTTACAAATTTTCATAAACAAGCTGACCTTAAGGTTTTCCATCCTGAGTCATCCTTATCCATGACTAGATGGGGCCAAATAAATGCTGAACAAGGAATTAGAGCATCTAAGAGTGGGGTGATCATTTTATATTGCAGTGAAGAATGGATTCTGTCCCCTAAGATGTTTTATAGTAAGTGGTTTCTGTTACATTGAGTTTTCCAGGATAAATATTCTGGGAGAAACTGCAAAATATAACCTCCAGTTAGATTTAAAACAATGTTCCCACTCTCGTTCTTAAAGTAACAAGAAAAGGGACAGGAAAAAATATGAAAGTAACAAATAGAAAACTTGCCTCCTCTGACCATGGCCTTGGGGGAAGTGTTTATAGTTCAAGGATAGATTCCTAACCTAGAGATAAGGGTGCCAAACCTGAGACATTGCTACAGCAAAGGGAAGTCTGCCGAGAGATTACGGATCTAGAGCTAACTCAAATATGAACGAAACCATCCCCTTAAGCAATTTTTAAAAGTCTTATTATGTTTATTGTGTAGATATGTCACAGGTGGCTTGGAAGAAGATAATTTCAGGCTGAGAATAGTTTTAAAATCACTTTCAGGCTGACTTTATTCCTTCTGTTTCAGTGAAGGGTTTCAGAATTCCAAGATGCATTTGAGCAAATTTCCGATGCTAACTTAGTGAGTTTTAAACTCTTTAAATAAGCTAGCTCACTAAGAAGATATTCCTTTCATTATTTTAGCTGTAGGATCGCCCTTAAGTGAATAAAAATAGTATGAGCTTTTAGGATTGTTTGGTTCAATTTCCCGGTTTTTCAGGAAGGAGGGGAGCTCATAATTCTCACCAATCGAGGAGTCCTGGATGCTTGCCTCTAAATTCCTTTACACAGTATATGGCTTTTTGGGGAAAAAAAAAATTCTAGAATAAATATTTGAACTCCTGTCTTTTAGTAGAACTATAGAACTTTTTTATTTTAATCTGGCTTTCGATACAAGGTAAAAAAAAAATCATATTGTTTTCTTGTTCACTCTTACCCTATGTCCTTTGGGTCCTACCTTACTTCTCAGCCACTTATCCAAAAATAGCCCATTACTGCATCTTTTGAGCAGCTGCTACTGTTCTAATATGTGACATACAAGTTTACGTTCTCTGTTTCACATTTTTCAAAAAGATGCTTATGCCTCACATTAAATTTGTCTCAAAGTTTTTTTGGAAGTTTATTTAAGTAATCTCTACACTCAACATGGGGCCTGAATTCACGATCCCAAGATGGAGAGTCGCACACTCTTCTAATTAAGCCAGCCAGGTGCTCTTGTGACTGCCTTTGATAGGACGTGGTCAACAGGCAGATGCAGGTTTTCCTCACTATCCAAAAAAAAAAAAAAAAAACAGAAACAAAAACAAAAAAAAATCCTATGAAAACTTTTGCAAGTCAAAATTGTATAAAGAAGCAATTATCATTAATTTACATTGAAGAATGTATGAGCATTTCCAGACACAAAAAAATAATAACCTCTCTTGGGACCTTTTGACACCTTAGGACACATTTTGCTAACAGGTATGCACAATAAATCGAGTTAAAGCACGGATGCTCACAGATAGAGGTCAAAGGTCTGGTGGCTTGATGCTGAGACACCGAGTGCAGTTCCCGGGGAAAATGCTTGGTGGCGCCACTCAAGGTTGGGGTGCGTGCTGCCGCTTTCGCCTTGCTCCCAAACGGATGCCGAATGCCGTTGGTGCTTTTGACTTTTCTCCGTAAAAGCAAAAATCCCCTTCTGATTTCTGTCAGTTCGTGAAAACAGGTCCTAATGTAGGTTTTTTCGTAAACGCAAAGGGGGTGTAACATGAGCTTAAGAAAAATACTATGAAAAATATTATGAAAAATATTCTTTCACATCATAGAATGAGAAATCCGAGGCCCTGGGAAGGGAAATGACTTTGCCGAAATTGATCCATGAGTCAATCTCTGAAATAAAGTCACGTCATCTTAACTCACAGAAGTCAGTTTCAAAATCTTAGTTCTCTGTCCTATGAAAGAATTTTTAAAAAGCGTAAAACCTCTATCTTTTGTAAGTCTGTTGTACTTTCTTCATCAGCGAGATTCCTCTACTCTTGGCCAAAACCCCCGGAACAGAGTATTATGTTTTCAGGAATAACTGGAGGCATTGCATAGCTTTGTTCCCTATCCACAATACACAATGTGCTTTAAGATCAGAAAAGGAATTCTAGACCCACAGTCCACCATACAGAAGTGTCAAACTAGGTCAAGAATCAAGAATCATTTTCTTTTTTCTACAGCTTTTGGATTTCATAAAGGCTTACATAATTTAGGAGCCTGAATTACAGGCTGTCTCAGTAGCCTCTAGCTCTGTGTGGAAGGGTCTGATGTATGTAAGAAAGCTATTTTCGTCTAAAGGTACACAGGACAAAAAGTTTGCTTCTAGCCCTTTGGCTTTACCATCTACGCTTGCCTATGAAATTTCAAAGTTCTGATACATCCCAGAATATTCAAATGTTTAAAAATCATCATAACTCGTCAGATGTTTCAGTTTTACACCAAAATGATGAGCAATGCTAATCTTTCATCAGTTATTATTATTTTTTTAATTTAAAATAGAAAGGCCCAGAAGATTCACAGGCAGCTGAAATTCCTGTAGGCAGTCTGACGGCCTCCAACAGAAAATGTGAGTACCAATTTTCAACAGTTAAACTTTAAATATAGAAAGTACCACAGAACAGGGTTATGTCTGTTTGAAAATAATGTGAGGAAATCATGTAGATTTCTTCCTGGGTTTGCATTTCACTATTACAGTCTTTATGAGAAAACATTTAATACTCAATCCTATCAGTCTTTCACAGGCACTGAGCATTGTACTCCATTCTTTAAAAATGATGTTTTCCTAAACTGTTTAAAACTGATCCTCTGGGAATGACAATTGCTATAAATAAATCCATATGTAGTTATCAAGGCTCCTTTAAAATCCTGAGCACAGCATATAGTATAGACTTGCAGAATCACTATGTTCTGCATCTGAAACTAATGTAATATGTGTCAACTAAATATCAATTTAAAAAATTCATGTTTACATGATAATTGAGCCTTTTACTTCTTTCTCTATGAAGGCTGGAGACTTCTGTCACAGTCTACTGAAATTTGGTACAAACGTCTGTCTCATGCGTGATGTTGTCCCTGGAATGGTGGAGGGCAAATCAGAGATAATTCATCATTTGGATTTTACTCTACAACTCACTTGTTCATACAAATTTCAACCAACCTTTTTTCTTTCTGTGCTTTTCCCTATTTCTGAATTTAACGTACCAATTTTGTAGACCACTTTATTCCTTTTGGCTTATGTTTCTGTAATTTTCTGAATTCTTTTGGTCTCTTTCAGTTTTCGTCTGTTGTTTCCAAATCTGCCTAGTGGTTCTTACGGATAGTACCCTTTTGTGACACAAGCTTCTCAGTGTTTTAATGTTAAATTGTCATGATTAGTTATTCCCATTCTACTATAATAGATTAGTTACCTCGTAATAGAAATAGCTAACATTATATGCCAGGCATAGCGCTCCACACATCATGGATTATCTTATTTAATACTCCTATGACTGACTAAAGTAAGAACAATTATTATCCCAGTAAAATAAGTGTAGAAACAATCTGAGAGGGTAAGTTACTGCCCAGGATTTCATAGCTGGTAAGCTCCAGTACTGAAACTTACAAATGCTAATAGACCAACAATTTCATGATGGTCATTCATACATTCATTCATGCATCTGTGTCTTCTTACATTCTTTCATTCATTCAAGAAATTTTTGAAGTTGTGCTGTGTTTTGGGCACCAATACATGCACTGGAGAGAAAAATAATGGTCTTTATCCCTATTTTGCAATGTAGTTGGGGTATAGATGCTAAAGGATCAAACACGATTGTAACGATCACTATCTTAAATGTGTTATATATATTAACCTCGGGTAATTTATTTATTTGATTCAAAATATGTGATTATGTAGTCTGTCTAATTCCGCTTTCAGGACATGGCTAGTAATATTTTTCCTTCTAAATCTTTAGTTCCAGAAGAGAGTCTAGAATGCCTCGCACCTAGTTGGTCTGCAGTGGGCATCTCTTCACTATCGTTTTTGAAAGAAGGGAAGAGGGGAGAAGGATATACCCCATCACAGTAGTAGTGCTTTGGCAGATACTAGATCAGGGACCAGCGATGGTCCCATTCAAGGATTTTGGAAGCCTCCTATCTTTCCACCTCAGATATCAAGCTTGGCATACAGAACACACAGTGAACAAATCCAAATTTGATTACTCAACTGCCCTTTTGCCAGGGACCTATTGAATTAGCTTCAAATATTTGATTACTTGTTTCACATTACCTCATTGGTGAAACTCGGCTTGTGTTTCAAAAGACAGGATGTGAACATCCTACCCACAGTCTGATTTAAATAAACAAAAAGTAACATGATATAAGGTCCAGCCCCCGTTTCACCATGTGAAACCTCATATAAGTTAGAAATGTGGACATGAATATGACTGCCAGGTACATAAGCAAAGATAAAATATTATTGATAATTCTGTAATAAGTACATTAGATTAGCAATGGATGCTGGTCTTATCTTCCACTGAATCATGTGTAAATTACCTTAAACATGATATACAGTGTGCTTATGGGGTTTCTATTACAAATATGTATTTGCCTGGGCCTTGTTACACGTCCGTGATCTGACATTTAGAAACCCGTAATTAGAGGTAATAAAATAATAGAAAACAAAAATAGCCATACTGTTTCTTAGCAGAGTATAAATTGAGTAAAAATTTTCCATTTGAAGATACACTACTTGTATCAAAACTACACTAAAGTACATGGAAATCACAATGTATTTGCATGCTGCAATGTTGCCAAATGTATGATTTTAAATTGTTTTATTTCCACAAAGAAGAGCTTTATTTCTGAAAATTGGCAGGAATAGCAAAGTGATCTGGTAGGATTATTAGATTCTAAGAGTTTCTGGGCCATGCCAATAAGAACTCCCTGAATTTGATCATAAATGTGTTTATGTGACCATTACCTGAAATTTTCTCATTTTTTATAAAGAATAAAATGTATTAGTAAACCACAAGAAAGATGTAAGTTCATCCTACAGGGATAGGTCTAAATAAACATGAATTTCAGAAGTGAAATGCCTGGGACATGTTTTCAGAGTGGTCACTACATCTGTCTCCTGGCTCATAGCCTGGGCTCTATCTGCCATTTACTCAACTGAGGGTACTTAGTTTATGGTGTGGGATGTGAAATGAGTTGAACTGTATTGTCCAGACAAAGTGGAAAACCATATTATAGCCCAGTGCCCCCATAATCTTAGACCACATAATAGAAACCAGGAGGTATCCTCTTTCTAGTTTTACTGAGTGTAGTATTATTAGAATACTAGGTTCAGTTCTTTTTTTTTTTTTTTAAGATTTTATTTATTTATTTGACAGAGACAGAGACCACAAGTAGGCAGAGAGGCAGGCAGAGAGAGAGGAGGAAGTAGGCTCCCTGCTGAGCAGAGAGCCTGATGTGGGGCTCGATCCCAGGACCCTGGAATCATGACCTGAGCTGAAGGCAGAGGCTTTAACCCACTGAGCCACCCAGGCGCCCCTGGATTCACTTCTAACAGCACCAACAGCTACTACCTACACTGGTCAAACAGTGCATTAATTAAACAGTAATTAAACAGTAATTAATGAAGTTTTACACAATAGAAATGGATTTGAATAGCTATTCTTATCAAATGGCATCCCTAGGTGGTTTACTGTGAAAATAAGTGTAATCCTAGGAGTACTTTTTGACTGTGCTAGTTGTCCAATTCCATGAGGAGGTTATGCCAAGATACAGTTTTAGGTTTTCAAAAGCAGAAATGCTGTCCATTAAAACTCTGGGCCCATTTATGATTAAAAATATGATAGTAATTATTTCTGTGACTCTATACTAATCAGATAATGTATATTATGTAATGGAATCCCATGAAAAGAGCTTCTCTTTATTTTGTTCAATGTTTGGCAGCTCTAGTCCTGAAGGTTATTTTTTTGGAAAGAAAAGGACACTAAGTGATCCAAAGCTGATTTGGGGGCCAGCAGAGTTGTCTGTGGTTCTGTGCGGGTCACACCTGGGGTGTGAACAAGATACTTGGGGAAGGCTATGAGTGCCAAACAGAAAGGGAAACTCAATGAACAGAAAATGGGCACAAGTGTAACCCAGCCATCTGACACCAGGGACAGTCTGACCCAGAGGAGAGAGTGTTGGAAAACAGCCTCTATTTTAACAACATCCTACGGGGAGGGTCTTAAATTATTTTAAAGTGCTTTACAAAAAATGCAAGTGCAGAAGGTCACTGGTGGTATTTTGGAAGGTTATAACAATATTATTTTAATTTTTTCTTTTGGGATAGCTGAACAAAGTGACAGAATAGTGAATGTCATGCATAATTTATCTCGTTACGAGTCAGATCCGTTAGGAAAACAATGATCGTTCAGCCAAATGTGTCAATTACCATATGTGCATCTCTAGTCCTGACTTATTTGAAAAGCTGAACCCAAGTGGGGTTGCTTAATTTGACGCGATGTAAGAATGTCGAGAGAAAAATGGGGGAGTGGGTTGTGTGTGAAGGGTTCCGTGACGTGTCTAGGGCCCTGTTAACGCTTCTCACTTTATTTGGTTCTTTAGGCAAAACCATTAGCCTGTTAGCAATAATGATACTGTTTGGGGACAGCCTGCATAATTTCGCGGATGGCCTGGTGATAGGAGCGGCCTTCTCATCTTCATCTGAGTCAGGAGCGACCACCACGCTTGCCATCTTATGTCACGAAATTCCACATGAAATGGGTAAGTCAGACGGTAGCATGGCTGTCTTCCACTTGTTGAGAAAGCTAGAGGGTATTTCTAGCTATGGTCTGTAGGCGTCTTTTTCCAACACACAATTGAAAGATGAATACTTTCCATTCATAATCTATTTAAATGGCAAGAAGAAGACAACTGGCCGGGGGAAGCTTCTGTACCTTGGGATAAAATTCACTCTTTATGATGTTTCCCCGGGGCCAGAAGTCACTTGTTTTGGATTCTGGAGAGTTCCAAATCTGAGAAAGTCATTTAGAGAAACCTCATTTTAAAGAACTTCAGGAAAGACTTTAAAATCTGCTTCTTATATGTGGGAAAAACATTAAGAGGGGAACTTTCCCCGTTATGTCAGCAAACAGGCCAATGAGATAAAATAACATTTAATTTAAAGCCAAACCATGGTTTCATCAACTTGATTTATATAAAATGTCTAAGACCAAGCATAAAATTGAAATGACAGGCGTCTGCTAGCAGATGCGCGTAAGGCTCTTTTTCTGGATAATCTTAATAGCCCTTGTAATTCAAATTCTGCCTCGCGGGAAACAAGAGAAGGCAAAATAGACATTTCCAAAAGAGACCCAGAAAGAGCGGGGGCTGGCTCCAGGTACACACATGCCCTAAAGAGGGGGCTCTGGGCACTCTCATGGCCCCCACTGCCAGGTCTACACTGCCCCTTTGGGCCACCCCAACCTCGGTATTCACTGTCCACTGCCTAAAATCCTGTCACCAACTCATCACCCATCCTTAGAGCGGTTCATCCAAGGATCTTCCTGAGTCCATTAAAATGTATCTGGTCTGGGTGCCACATACTGTGGCCTTGCCTTTAGCTATTATAATAAAACCACAGAGGAGTGTGACAGTCTGAGACAGGCCAGCGAATGTGTTTTAAGACCTTCCTAGGACCGGTTATACCACAGAACTAAGTAACTGCATCGCCAGGCCATCTCTGGACTGAATTTCAGCCCTTCCCTATCTCCCAAAAAGAGACTCTCAGATCAAAAGGTCATTCTTCTTAGGAGGAAAGGTGTAGAGAGAATAAGGTCAGTTTTGGCAATGATTTTAAAATCTATTAAGTAGTTCTCTGTGCACAGGAGTTCTCGCAGAAGTAAATAATAAAAGCCAACGTAACGTGATTTTGTCTGGCAAGTTTCCAGGCAAAAAGGTTTAAAAACTCTGCAACAGCAAGTGCTTTATTCTGCATTTATCTAGGTCACAGGGTGCCAGGAACTAAAGAATATGTCAGTCCTCCGGCATAGGTTAGCTTCAGGACTAGGAAAAGGAAGACAGCTCTTGAGATGTAACTTCCTAATGATACAATGAGAATCCTAGAGAGATATAAGAAATGTTTTAGCGACTGGTCAGTCAACTTTCCTTGCAAAATTGGTCCCAGTTGCTGAAGTTTGAAGCAACCTAATAGCACATTACTCCAGGAAAGGTATCATCAATTGCAGAATGATTATGTTTTCATTTTCCCTTAAATTTCAGGAGACTTTGCCGTGCTCTTAAGCTCTGGCCTTCCTATTAAGATTGCCATCCTTATGAATTTTGTAAGTGCTCTCACTGCCTTCATAGGACTCTACGTTGGCCTCTCAGTATCAGCTGATCCGTGTGTTCAAAACTGGATCTTAACAGTTACTGCGGGAATGTTCTTATATTTATCCTTGGTGGAAATGGTAAGCTCTGTGGCTTTTCTATGTTGTGTTTCTAAACTCTGAAAATGTAAAACAGAGACAAAGCTATAAAATGGAAGGATAGATGAGAAGAGGAGAATATATTTAATAACATAAAAGACTAAGGAAATATTCTGTGTAATCCGAGAAAGTAAGTTGTAGGCAGAAGAAACATAATTTGAGATACAGAAAATATTGACATCCTTTAAGCAGATTTAAGTGGAATGAGTGAAGCCTGTCAAATTGCCAAAAAAGTGATCATCAGTTCATTCTGCTCTGGTTTTGCATCTCTATATGATATCTATCATTCTAGCTGAAAAATGGAAAGTTCTGTAAAATAGCCACCTATTTTGTTTATGCACTGGGTAATAGTTCAACCGAACTTGTCATTAATCAACTGTTTGAATTCATTAACCAACTGTATTTTTTAAAATAATGATTTCATCTTTATTTCAGTTTTACTAGCCAAAGGGCTATCATGCTGGTGAAAAGAGAAAGATGATAGTAAGGGGCCTCTCACATTACAACATTTATTTCCTAAAGATATCCTCCCTGACATGACTGGGAACTCGGTTATCTCCTGTCTTCCTCTCTAATCTGATGAAGGAATATAAACTGGGAATTTTACTTTTTTTTTTTTTCCTCTTAAATTCTGGAATCTGAAAAATAAACCAGTCTTTTAAGGTCACCTTCTATTAGACGTGGTATGACTTGGATGTGTTGAGGTAGAAAGTCTGAATAACTATCCTTTCTCATACATTGGAATCACGCAAATAAAATAATATAAATGATTGAAAGAAATATTGAACAGTGAAAAGCAGTAGAAAGCCAGTCCAAATGGAAGTAAGATATGTGATTACATGTATCCTAGAGCAGAAAAGTAAAATAAGCAATTTTGAGGGTCATATGTGTAACAGGAAATGATGACTTGTGATATGGCAGAACCTTGCTATTGCCCCAGAAGTAAGTGAAGAGAAATGTTTCATGAGGAAAAAAAATCGGAAAGGCATTCTCATGAGATTCAGAGAGCTGAGGTGAACACCATAAGGTACTTCCATGTTTAGAAATGTTCTTACATATTATTTACGATACTCGGGGAATTTCCTAATCTTGATAGTAAAAACAATACTAGGGGGGCAAGTTCAACACAGCTCTTCTGAACCTGAATCCTCAAACCAAGGTCGGTTCACAAAAATCTGTGAGGCTTTCAGTTTGAGCAATTTGGATTGCTAACCTCTCCTAGTGGCTTCAAAAGAACAGTGTCACTCATCGCTGAATGTTGTGAGCTACCTTCTGTTTAAAATGTCTGTATGTCAGTCCTCCGATTTTCACTCCGAAGTCTCCTGATTTTCAGTTTTCTGCTTCCAACTTCCTTTCTCTTTATGACTCGGTTGGGGGGGGGGGGGCAGTTGCTGTATTCTTTTAAAGTGTATTCTGTTTTTGTTTTTGGTTTTTTTGTTTTGTTTTGTTTTTTAAGTCTGGACCTCTCTTTGATGATGATGGATGTCTATTTATCTAGTTAATGCTTTTTCTTTATTAGAGAGTTTGAGCTCCCAAAACGGACCTGAGGACATTATCAAGAACCATTTGCCATGGAGAACCCTAAACTAAATACGTCATTTTCCCCTCAGTGTTTCTCCCCCTGGCTTTGTAAGTGAAAGCAATTGCTTGTACGAAATGTGGCAGACATCCTATGAGATTCCAACTAGAATGAATCTTGACCTTGCTGTAAATTATTATTGGTCAAGGAAAAACTGGCATCCTGGCAAAAAGACAGTTAAGAAAATACTCTTGAGTTTCCTGGGGCTACTTCCTATAATCCAGGTCGCTTGCTCTCACGGCCTTTGGAGTAACTTCTAAATAAATGGGAGTCTTTCACATAGCAGCAACTTTAACTGTTGCTGTGCTCTGGGGCTGTGCCAGAGAAAATAGTCTTTTGTCATTGAAAGGAAAGAAAACAAGTCTTCAAGACTCTGTAAAACAGCAAAGAAAATAAATAACAGTAACAAAAGGGTAAGGGGGGGGGGCGGGGGACACTTTCAAGCACTGGTTATTTACTAAATGCTGGAAATTTACCAGGCACCTTCTGAGCAGGGCTAATGTGAAAAGATTAGCTACATTTTTGCCTTGCTTGTTTGTTTCAAAGTAATTGGGCATGTTATTTCAAACTCCCAGAAGAAGGAAAAAAAAAAAATACTAGGAGCAAAAACGAGGCCATTAGTAATGAAGTCAGCAAAGCAGAGAGGCTTCACTAGGGAAATCTGCCAGCCTGAATTCTCCAAAGTGGTATTGCCTTCTCCAAGCACACTATCTCCTCTCAGAGGCATTGATTGGTTTCTAAAGAAAGTTAAGAATGAAGCAGGCCTGGGTGGCCAGAGGAAATTCATTCTGTTATAAAGATCAGTGTGCTACGATGGATTTGTCCCAGGCAGAGACAAAGACAAAGGCTTATGTGAAGGCAGTTCGCCCTGGGGGTGATCCCAGGGGCAGGAATGGAGGGCAGGTGAAAGGGGGCAGAAAATGATGGAAAATCAAGAAAACGGTGTGTCTTTGTTAAGCCGATCTCCACAATGGGGGATCCACCACACAGGACCTTCTGGTGGAAGGTTCCCATCCCTGTTGTTCAGAGTTAGCTCCACAAACATAACCCCCCCAACACACACACACCCCTTTCAGGTTACGCATGCTTGAGCACCAAGGGAGTTCCCACCTCAGTCCCACAGAGAAGCCCAAGGCCAGAGAAGGAGGAACACACAGTGTGGGCTGAAGCAAACTTCTGTGCAAAACTCATCAACATGCCCTTGGAAATGGTCTCTGCAGCAGTGGCTGATTGTCACAGGTGGAGAATACGAGGAGCCCCTTCAAGGGCAGGAGCCAACCAAAAACTCAGGAAAAGACTCAGTGCATGATAGTTAGTGGAACACCCTCCAAACCCGGTGGTCTTGAGGCAATATTTGATATTCAACCATCTCTGTCCTCTAGCACCCAACTTTGATTCTCCTCACCTTCAGGCAACACTTTGGCGGACCCAGATTTCTTCCCTAGAAGGGCAGCCAGGTCTTCCCTGAGGGGTCTGCTTTGTCCTGGCGGGCTCATGCTTCCTCTGATTGCCTGTTCCCCATTGTCATCAGATGAGAGCTGCAAGAGATGCTTCAGGGAACTCCTGGTTTCTAGATAGGTTCCTTGCTTCCTCCACTGTGTAACCATAACCCTAACTTCTCACGGTAGCCAGTGGCAATAACTCCCACCAGTTTCATAACGTTTATCTCTGCTGGTTCATCTGTTGACAGGAGGAGCGCAAATGTACTTAAAGGTTCAAGTTCAATGGAAATGTTCCCTGGTGTATTTTCAAAAACAGTAGACTGTGATTGGACAGTGCTAAACTTTACAGGAACAGGAAGCACGAATTCTACCAAAGGAAGAGCTGGCAAAGATGGTGTACCATTGTTTCATGAGTTTCTCTCGTTTCTGCCATCTCTATGATTCCCTTCCTTCTATTCACTTTGCATTAATTTTCTGCTTCTTTTTTTCCTTTGTGAGGTGGAATGACATATCATTGATTTTAAATCTTTTCTTCTTTTCTAATCTAATCACTGAAAGCTATAAACTTCCCTCCAAGCACTACTTTGCTGGATCCCATGAATTTTAATCTGTTGTGTGTTCAACACGGATCCCTCTGAAATGTCTTTAAATGTCTCATGTAACTTTTTTCTTGTGGAAGGATGGCGCCTAATTGTTCAATGTTTGTAACTTTTCCAGGTAGCTCTTAGTTATTTTAATTTCTTCATTGTCAGAGAATATATTCTGTATTATTTTAGTCCTTCGAAATATTTTAAGGCATGTTCTATGGCGCAGGGTGTGGTCCATCTTGGCAAATGCCCTCCTACGTGTTTGGAAAGTCTGTGAATGCTGCATTTCTTGGGTGTAAAGTTCTGTGAATGTCCATTAAGTCAGGCTGCTTGATGGTTTTAGTTGTATTTTCACATTCCATACTGATCTTTTTCTCCACGTGATCTGTTAATTATGAAGGAGAGATGCTGAAATATACATTTATGTTTGTGGGTTTACTTATTTCTTTCTTGGTTTTGTTGATTTTGCTTCATGCAGTGTAAGCTCTGTCATTAGAGGCACGCATGTTTAGGGCTGTCCTGTCCTCTTGATGGAACTGATACTTCTATTATGTGGAAGGATCCCTCTTTACCTCTGAGAAAACTCTTTGTCTGGAAGCTTTCTTTGTCTGTTATCGACAAATAGAATAGAATAGAGGCACATCTGCTTTTCTGCTCACTATTTGCACAGAATATGCTGGCCATTGCTTTGTCTTCCCCTGTCTATAGAAAGTAAGGGTTGAGGTCTTTTCTTTTTTTTTTTTTTTTTAAAGATTTTATTTATTTATTTGACAGAGACAGAGACCACAAGTAGGCAGAGAGGCAGGCAGAGAGAGAGGAGGAAGCAGGTTCCCTGCTGAGCAGAGAGCTTGATGTGGGGCTCGATCCCAGGACCCTGGAATCATGACCTGAGCTGAAGGCAGAGGCTTTAACCCACTGAGCCACCCAGCCGCCCCAGGGGTGAGGTCTTGATAGAGTGTTTGAAGTGTCATGTAATAGAAATGTCTGATACTGTTAACAATGCCTGGAAGTAATAGATTAGAATCCATTTATCTTGTCTATCTACTTCCTCCAAATTGTATTTATAACCAGATCTATTGGTTTGGTATCTTTTTTGTACTCCCATGTTTGCTACGAAGATTTCATGAGACGTGTTCTGTAGAGAATGCTCCCCTCACCAAGATAACCTTGTCCTCTTCTTGGGGACCTGTGACTATGTTATCTTACATATCAAAAGAGACTTTGAGGATGTGATTAAGGTTTAGGACTGTGAGATGGGGAGATTAGCCTGGATTATCTGAGTGGCCACATTCTAATCCCATGAGTCCTTAAAAATGGGAAACCTTCCCCAGCTATAGTAAGAAAGAGATGTGATGACGGAAGGAGGGTCAGAAA